ATAATAGGAATCATGAAAATTTTTCCTATGGAAATACAAAGAATGTGCTCCAACCACCGCCGGGGTTTAAGGTGGTGAATGGCGAGATTGTCGAAGAGAAGAAGATGGACATGGAAAATATTCTGGTAGCTTTCATGAATGAGACGAGAAATCGTTTCAACAGAGATGAAGAGAAGTTGGACAAGATTGAGAATCATGTGACACAATTGGCTACGACAATGGAGGCTCAAATGAAAAACTTGGAGATGCAAATTGGTCAACTGGCCAAGGCCGTGGGAAGCCAGCACCAAAGGGGTCAATTTCCTAGCAATACCGAGTTGAACCCAAAAGAGCAATGTCATGCCATCTATCTACGAAGTGAAGAGGAGAAAGTTTGTGATGAGTTAATGAAGGAACCAAGTGTGATAGCAACGTCAAGGCCTGGGATTACATTTAATTCCAACTTTGGCTCTCCTAAACTTTCTATCCCTTTACCTTTTCCTCAACGATTTGCGAAGAAGAGGGAGATTGAGGAACATGAGACGGTGACCTTAACGGAAGAGAGTAGTGCGATCCTCCAACGCACGATTCCTCCGAAGCTTAAGGACCCCGGGAGCTTTACGATTCCTTGCACTATTGGGAATATGTTCTTTAGCAAAGCTTTATGTGATCTTGGTGCTAGTATTAATCTCATGCCTTTGTCAATTTTCAGGAAGCTCGGATTGGGAGAAGTGAAGCCATCTACAATGACTTTGAAATTGGCGGATCGTTCGATAACGTGTCCGAAGGGGATTGTTGAGGATGTGCATGTCAAGATTGATAACTTCACTTTTCCTGTTGATTTTGTTGTATTGGACATGGAGGAAGATAGTGACGTGCCATTGATTCTAGGGCGTCCATTTTTAGCAACGGGAGATGCGTTGATTGACGTCAAAAAGGGAGAACTTACTTTGCGTATTAATGATGAGCATGTGTTATTTTCAATACATAAGCCTATACTTCATGATAATAATATGCATACTAACTTTATTGATTCAGGTGATGTGATCAAGTTGGAAGATATGATGAACTCGGAGAGCAAAACGGTAAAAATCGGAGTTGAAAATAAGTCGCGCAGAGCTGACACGGGCAGTGACACGGGCATTATGCCCGTGTCAGGTGACCGTGTCAGAAACCTGGGAGAAACTCAGAATTTTCAAATGCGACACGGACGGCGACACGGCCCGTGTCAGGTGCCCAGGTACGGCTTTTGGAGCACGGACGACGACACGACCCGGACCATCAAGCACGGCCCGTGTCGGAGGTCGTGTCAGGTGTACTGTCTACCCCTTTTTCAGCCGAATCAAGTTCTTCAAAGCCCGACGCACCGATTATGGACCTCAAACCATTGCCAGATCATCTGACATATGCATACTTGGGTGATAATTGCACATATCCGGTAATTGTATCATCTTCTCTAACTTCTGAGCAATTAGATAGATTGTTGAAGGTGTTGCATACGTATAAGTCGACTATAGGTTGGTCTACGTCTGATCTTAAAGGTATTAGTCCATCACTTTGCATGCATAAAATAAGATTAGAGGAAGATTATAGACCATCTGTGCAAAATCAACGACGCTTTAACACCGTTATGAAAGAAGTTGTGAGGTTAGAAGTACTTAAATGGTTGGATGTCGGGATTATATTTTCTATTTCTAATAATGAGTGGATGAGTCTAGTGCAAGCGGTACCGAAAAATGGAGGAATGACAGTACTGACAGAGAAAAAAGAAGAATTGATTGCACGAGATGAAGCGACCTTTTCAGTCCATGGACAATCCTACATTGATTTGAAGAACTCTTGATCGAACTTCATAGGCGTCTGGCTGAAGACGTTAAACTTAGCGCTTGTTGGGAGGCAACCCAATGTTTATTGCTTTATTTTTTTATTTATTTTTATTTTTTTTGTTTATTTGATATTTTGTTTTTCTTCCTTACAGAATATTACATGGAGAGATCCACATGACGAAGGATATGCTTCGAGATCTATACCAATTTGTCGTCTCTTCAATGATGTTTTGTAAGTTTTCTCTATTTTTCTTTTGTTGAAATTCTATTCTTCCCTTTTGTGCTTCATATATTTTCATTCAAGTTTGGGAGGGAGATGTGGTATTTTGATTTGAGAATTTTAGAGAGAAGATAACAAGATATCTTGCATTATCTTTGCATAATAATTAGTTGCATGTTAGGTTTTATCGCTTTAGCACGTTTATTGCTTTCTTAGGATTTGAGTAGTTGTAGTTGGTTGACTTTGATCCAACTTGATGAGTTTCTTGTGCATATTTGATATATAATTCGGGCATAATGTGCTAAGTGATGGAATTTGATGATGAATTGAGTTGTGAATTTGAATGATTGGTTGATGTTTTTGATCCATGAATGTATGATCCTTTGTGAGCTTTTGAGCCTTAATTTTTTTGTTGAGTGTATCATTCATTGTTGTTTGAATTCTAGAACTTGCATTGGTATCTTTATCGAAACCACATGGTGTGTGCATTTTTGTGAAAATGATTTAAGGCATATTTTTGTTTGAGCCGTTTTGACCTTTTAGCTTACCAAATGATATTTTTATTCCCTAGTTAACCCTTTTGAGCCTTTGCCTATTTTATTTGGATGCCACATATTGAGCTTCATCTATTATTTTCCTTGTCCTTACTTGAGCATTTAGGACTATATTATGTGACGAGGATGAGCTATTGTTTGTGGTTTGGATAGAGGGAAGACATGAATGGGGTATAATTTGATGGTGGAAGTTGAATGGTTTTGAACGAAAAAAAAAGAAGAAAAATAGCTGTAAAAAGGCTGAAAAAAAAAAGAAAAAAGAAAAAATAAAAAAGAAGGAAAAAAGAGAGAAAAAGAATGTTTGTATAGTTGTTTCTATTTTATTATTGACTTGAATAAAGGACGGTTGGGTTTGATTGTTGAATTTTCTTTTATGGCTTGCAAGTATTGATCGAAAATGGGTTATGGAATGATTTTGTTGAGCTTGATCATGAATGATAGGTGATGAATTGGTGTAGTTCATGTTTTGTAGTTCTAGATGATCAAGTTTTCGTCACTTTATCCATATTTTTCCTACCCTAACCAAAGAGCCTACATTACAACCAAATAAAAGTCCTTTATGATTCATGAAGTGCATGCACGATAGGTGGTGGAGATAGTAGACGATTTGCAAGCTTATGGTAATTCTTTGGCATTGAATTGATTTGAGCGATTATTTTTCCTATATACTTTTGAGAGGGTGAGTATACACTTATCCGGTGAGGTTTGTGGATTGAAAGCATTGACCATGATTTTGATGAAGCATTCTTTTTGTTTAAAAATTCCGGAATTTAGTATGTTACTTGCCCGATGCCTATTGATGATGTGTATGATTGACTTTGAAAGTGTGATTACTTCTATTTGTGTGTTGGTATGAGTTTGAAACATTGATCGGGACTATCAATGGTTTAAGTTTGGGGGTTTGTTCATGTGTGATTTTACACCATATTTATTGAGTATCTAGAGCTTAGTCATTGCGTTATTGGTGTATAAATCGCATATTTGTGCTTTAATTCTCTATTTGTTGGAAAGGTATTACACGTGCTTGTTTTGTAGATATTTTCACGTATTTTTAGAGCTTGTGGCTATTGGAGGCGCATTGTGAGTACCTAGGACCCCCGATATGATGATGGATTGATGCACGGATGAGAAATATGGAAGAAACGAGTGAAACGGACAAAAAACGAGAGTGCTGGGATGTGACACGGGCAGTGACACGGGCACCATGCCCGTGTCAGGTGGCCGTGTCACATGAACAGGGGCATTCCGAGGCTTGATACCTGACACGACCCATGACACGGGCGTGTCAGGCCGTGTCGCGCGCTGGAACAGAATTTTAATACTTGCCTAATTTGACTAGGAGAGGTTTTTGGACACAAGAGGAAGCATATTTAACCTAGTTTGAGAGGCCAAAAAGAGGAGAACACGTTAGAGAGGCTTGGAAACACACAAGAGGAGCAATTGGAAGGCAAAAGGAGATCAACCACAAAGGGATCAAGGAGATTAAAAGATCGACGAGATTCCTAGTTTTTCCTTTCTTCTTTCCTTTTGAACTTTTATTGATCATGTTGATTTCTAATATGTCTATGTATTTGAATTCAAACATGAGTAGCTAAATTTCATTGATTCTAAGACTTGGTAGTAGATTAATATGTTGGGATTTTGGATGATTTATTATAATTGATTGTTTTCTTTTGAACCCTATTCAAATATTTTGTTCTTGTTTCATGTTTAGCACTTGGCCAATGTTTTTACATGTTTGACAATATTGTTCATAATTCGAGAGATGAGTTCAATATTAGGTCTTTAATATTTGACACAATTTACTTGCTTGAATCGAGAGATTAGTAGGTTGTTGTGAGGATATTAGATCTTTTAATCTATTTGGAGTTGAATTGCATGTATTGAGTGGAGACGCTAATATATGTGATTTAATCTACGGTTTTATCGATCTTGAGAGGGACGATAAGCTAAATTTGTGATCATCTTATAGGGAAGATAAAGAAAACATTGGTTGTGATATTTCTGAAGGAACCCAACTATTAATTGAAACTAAAGTCTTAGAATCTATCATTCTCATATATCTTCTTACGTGTTTTCTAGCTAGTTCTTTATTTTTGCTTTATTTCCTTTGATTATATTTCCTTAGTTTAGTTAATCCATCTCATATTCGGTCGTCTAAATAAAATCGACACTATCATAATCTAGTAATTGGTATAATAATTATTTGGTCTCTTGGGATACGACCTTGCTTGCCACATACTATGAGCGAAGCCGTACACTTGCGGTCGAGCGTTAAAAATATAGGCGAACAATCAATTCCACAACACCACACCTCCAAAAATTTTACAAAAGACTCATCTTTCATCTATTAAAAATCAGAATAAGAATAATGCCTCAACTGTGCCTGAAATTAGCATGATATTTAGCAGCGAAGACGCCATGTGGGATTTCTATAAGCGCTATGCATATGGTGTAGGCTTTCCAGTTCGGAAGAGAAATTCCAAAAAGAAAAACGGGTCTTTGAGATATGTGACCTTTACTTGTTGCCGAGAGGGAAAATGTAAGACTACGCAAAATCATCTTTTCAAGAGGCAACCAAATTAGAAGACTAGGATATCAACTTCTTGTGATACTAATGGACAATGGAGAATTAACAACGTTATACTGGAACATAATCATAAAACAAGTCTATTTAAGTCGAGGTTATTTCCTTGCAATCGGGAGCTGAGTACATATGTTAAACGAAAGCTTGAAGTAAATGATATGGCCGGAATCCCATTGCATAAAAGCTACAACTCTACAGTTGTAAAAGCAGGTGGCTATGAAAACTTGACTTTCAATGAAAAGGATTGCCAAATTATATTGAACAAGTTAGGCGTTTAAGACTTGGAGAAGGAGATGCGGCAGCAATACAATCTTACTTCTCAAATATGCAAGCCCGTTGCCTAGGATTTTTCTTTAGTATTGACTTGGATGAAGAATCTTTGCTAAAAAATATATTTTGGGCGGATAATAGGTGCAGAAAAGCATATCAAGAGTTTGGTGACGTGGTTACGTTCGACACGACATACCTCACTAATAAATATGATATGCGGATTGAACCGTTTGTCGGTGTTAATCACCATGGACAGTCAATATTACTTGGTTGTGGGTTATTGTCCAATGAAGATACCAATACTTTTGTGTAGTTGTTCAGCACTTGCTTAAGTGCACGAATGATAAAGCTCCTATCGGAATAATAACAGACCAAGACAGAGCTATGCAAAATGCAATTGGAGTTGTTTTTCCTAATACGCGACATAGATGGTGTCTTTGGCACATTTTGAAAAAGTTGCCTGAAAAATTTGGCTACCATATTGATAAGGGAAAATTTTTGCTTCTATACATGAACTAGTATATGGTTCGCAACATGTTGAAGAATTTGAGGCAGGATGGGATGTGATGATTAATAAATATGAATTGCATGAAAAGGAATGGTTATCAGGATTATACGAGAATCGAATGCGTTGGGTTCCTTGATTCTTGAATACTTGTATGTGGGCTGGGATGTCAACAATTCAAAGGAGTGAAAGTATGAACGCGTTCTTTGATGGGTATGTACATTCGAAGAAGTCCTTAAAACAGTTCGTTGAACAATATGAGCACTAAGAAGTAAAGTTGAAAAGGAGATCCAAGCTGATTTTAGGTCATATTCTCAAATGTTGTCGTGCATGACAACATTTGAAATAGAGAAACAATTCCAATCTGTCTACACCATCTCAAAATTCAGGGAGGTTCAAAGTGAATTCACAGAAATAATGTATTGTGATATTATATCTGCCGCTACGACAAACATCGGTACAACATACGAGGTACAAGGGATTATTATTCTTAGAGAAGGACGAAAGAAACAAATATTTGCAGTCTCATTGCAAAAGGAGAATAAAGAATTTTCATGTAGCTGTCACTTGTTGAGTTCCGTAGAATCATTTGTAAGCATGCTATTACGGTTCTGATTCAATGTGATATCACTGTATTGCCCGAGAGGTAGATATTGAGACGATGGAGAAGAGATGTGATTAGAGCATATACTAGGATTAGTGTGGACTATGACGGGATGGTGAGTACCCCTTGACAAACTAGGTACGAAAATGTGTCAATCTTTCGCTGAGTTGGCATACCTTGCCGCCGAAATGAAGAAAAATGTTGCTTTATATTAGATTGGATCGAAGAACAATGTGGTGAAATGTCGTCGATGTATTCGAGTAGTGTAAAGAATTTAATGCCGCAACACACTGCACCAAATCCATCTGAAAATAAAAATATTGGGGCTATTCGTGATCCTGTTTTATCCAAAAGAAAAGATGCTCCGAGAAAACTGAGACGAAAAAATCCGTTGGAGTCACGATCACATAAAGTGAAGGTAATCCTTTTTTTAAAAAAAAAATAAAATAAAAATATATGTGCAATTACATGATCATATTTTGCCTTACTATTGGTACAGTTATTAGAAAAAATTACTATTGGTTAAATGATTTTCACTCTTTGTAGGCTACATCTGCATCAAGTAAAGGAAAAAGCCAGAGAAAAATTTATTCCGACTTGCAAACTGATGATACTAGTGTGCAGGATGCCATTCTTAGAGATTTTTCTGTACCGGCAACATTTTCATACTCTAAACTCTTAATGGTTAGTAGCTTCTATATGATTGTTTTTCTTTTTGCAACTGTTACTAATTATTGATTTGAAATAGGATGGTAATGGATACCAAGAAGGATTAACTCAACAATCACTAGCTTCAAATTCTACCCCANATCGATGACTTTTGCTTCATTTTCCGACAGCTGGAAGGAACTAAGCTTGCTTACTATATCTTCTTCCATGAACAAAGAACTCAGGAGCACCCGCAAAGGAGAATCTGAAATCTACACCAGCAAAAGATAGAAGGAAAGCAAAATACAAAAAAGAAAACCCTAATAATATTTAAGACGATGAGTAAGGTAGCTCCATAAACACACTATCCAATGACATTATTCCCAATGGCTCTTAACCTATGCAGGAGTAGAGAGAAATTGTGAATCAATTTACTGAGTACCTGGAATTAGCCCCAAATCGTTGAGGATAATGAAGAATTAAGCTGAAGGCGCTCGTCACGAGAGAGAATTTGCTCTCAAGAGAGAATTTTTTGAGAGTGTGTTCTTTTGACTTTTTTTTTGGAATTGATCTAGCAACAACATTATTATTTCCGGAATTGATTGAGGAACAACTTTATTATTTTTCCGAACTAGTAAAGTGCACGTGCATCGCACGTGGTGGCGAGTGGTTTTGCCGATTAAATATCGTAAAATAAATTAATTAATTTATTAAACATATCATTGCAGGAACGAAGTAAATATAGAACAAATGAGCTTTCAATAGTTTTTTTTAATGACATCATGATGTCCTAATATACAAAGAAAGAAATGACATATTACAATCCCAACAAAAAAAGTCCCTAATGGAAAAAAAAACAGTAAATAACTAAATAAAAAGAACGATTTTCTTTCATTTTGGTTTTGACATTTTCATAAGAAATATTCATACTCGTTGGAGCCCAGTACATCAATAGTGTTGCAAAATTCTTCTTAATTTATTTGGCAAAGTCTACTTTATTCAAATACTTATAAATATAAATATTTTGGCCAAATCAAACTTCATGATTGTATAATCTTTATAAGGTATTTCTACTAACAGTTCATGAATATCTTTGTAAAATAACCAACTATATCATTAAATTGTTGACATTTTTTTATCATTTTATAAACTACTTCATTACTATGTCCATATATATAGACAAATTGGCCCCTACTCCATGGAGACATTGTCCCACGGGGTGAGAATGAATTTCATCTCCAAATAAAATTTAACTTTCAAAATCTTGGTTACATGTACTTCTCTCGAGATGCTAAATTACTTTTTGAAATCACCATATTACATGAAAGTATGTACTGTAAAGTAATTGCACATACATTCGAGCAAATACACAATGAAATTGTAAATATTCTTATAAAAAAAGGACAATTTCATTCAAACATTCAAGAATGTTTTGATCAAGCTTCAACATTTTTTTTCAATGTTATTTATTTGAAAGACAAACGAACTATACAATCTACTTTTTGCAGATCATTGATTATCTTAGTTGCTGCAATGATTTTAGCGTTGTTTATCATTATATCTTTTACATTCATTCGAATTTACAGCACTTATGTGCTAATAACTTTTTTAATGCTTTTATTGATTTATTTGAATCATACATAATGCTTCGAAAATTCAAGATAAAGATCCTTTCTTGGACAAAAAAAATAATAAAAAAAAAATAATGAGACAATATTAAGAAACATATCATTTGTTAAATATTTGAGAAGAGAAGAATTATAATTCTATTATATTATGATACTCTTAGTCTCTCTGTGAACTTTATTATTACGAAGTTATTATAAAAATTTACGTTATATAACAAAATTTTTATTATTTTAATTATATTTAAAAATCTTGATAATATAGGATCATTATTTATGAGAACTAATTTCTTACATAGTTCATATATTTAGACGTTAGCAAAAAAAAATTAGTAATTTTAAAAGGTTTTGTTTCTAGATATTGGTATTCATATTTTTCTAAGAAAATTCAAACTTTTTATTTTCCCATTGAATTACTATTTCATTTTATTTGTTTCTTATTCAATTCACAAATAATATTTATTTGTTAAAAGAATTAGAGCACATTTAGATGTATTGCGTCTATTTTATATAATGACGTTGTAATTAAAATATCTTATTTATTAGGCTACAACAAATATAATGAAATACGGTAAATACTATTTAATATTACTTATTTATTTAGTTATAATAATAATATATTTGACAAAAATATACTTTTATACTGGTTAGACGATTAAAAAGTTTAGGATTTTTTTCATTGTTTGATAAAATATTAAGTAATTAACTCATTTCCGTATTCATTGAAAATATATGTTCTATGTTACAACATTATGGTATTCCTTTCATGCAGTAACTGAATAATTGTTTAAAATACAACTCATTTATTTGTCTTTTTAATTCACATAGTTAACGTTGGTAATAGTCGTAAGTTTACATCTATTTTGTACGTTTTTTTGTTATTTGTATGAATATTTCAAATCTATGTAAACAAAATATAACACATGTTTATCTTATGTTTTTTTTTTCATACATAATAAATTTTGTTTAACATAGATTTATAATTTATTTTATAAGATACTTTTAGGTCCATTTATTATTCTTAATTAGTATTGATATATATATATATATGTATATATATTATTTTATATCGATAGAAATAAGTATATTATTTTTATTTTATTTACAACACATTGGTCCAATTAAACATCATTGTAAAGAAATAATGTGATATATTACGTATAAAAAGGGTAACAAATAAAAAAATATTAAGTATTTCAAAATTGAAAATTTTAATGATAAATAGTAATTAAATCTGTAGCTGAAAAAAAATTAAGATTTCCTAGTCTTACATTTTTATTACGTAGAACATCATTCTTAGCCAATTGGGAATTGGCTAGAATTCACTGAGGTAGGACTCACTGAGATTGCAACTAGGGAGAACAAGCAGCCTATAACACAGACAAACTTGGAGGACTTTTCCCAGAGGGTAGAGCAGATCTTCATATCTGCCAGTGCTCTAATCTCCTTGGATGGAAGTGTTTTGTTTGATGTGGCCAAAAGAGATGGAGTTCTACTTAATGAATGGAAAGAAGTCTGCAGATATGAGGGTGATAAGCTGGGGAGGTCATTGTGCTTAGTAAGATGGACTTTGGAGCATGCTGCAGCAGGCTGGACACATATCACATGCATAATCAAGGACAAAGGACTAGCCGATCAACTAAGCAAGAGGCACATGTTCAAATGGCATATACACATGGTGGTTGAGGACATCTTCTCCCTGGCAAATCAATTTTCTATCTGTAACTTTGATTATGAGAGTAGCTCTTTAGATTGTGGTAGTTAATTTTTTCTTCTTTTTTTTAGTTCCTCTTGTGTTGGTTCTTTGGGTTTGTAGCAGCCGTGTTGGTGTCTTTAGACTTCAAGCATATGTTTGAAGTCGTGGGTCTGTATTGTGTAAGACTTGGTGTTTTTTCATGCTTGAGTGCTATATAATCAGTTATCGTTTATGGAAAAAAAGAAAAAAGTAAGAGTGTTTTAAATAGTTCATATTTTTACAAAATCACTCGTCCTTTTATAATAGTATAAATAGACAGATAGATAGATATAGATAGATAGATAGATAGATAGATAGATATCGATAGATAGAATAGATATAGATATAGATAGATAGATAAATTTCTATGTCATTGATTTATTTTCTAGAGCCTTTATTTTCCTCAAGTTCATGTTATTGTTGTTAAGTGGACACCAACTCTGTAATTTAAATTATCTGTAAGCAATCTGTAAATTTTAGCCTGGTAATATAGCGGGACCCATTGTGAGCGCAACTAATTTGTCAGCCAGCTTTAAGGAAGTTCTACAGTTTGTACTCTATCAGATCTCCAGAAAACTCATATATTTTACTCTATTTATTATTTCCATAGATCGAGACAGTAACAACTAATTAGGGTGACTAATCCTAGTTGAGCAAGCAAATAACATGATATTTAGAAAATTTAAAGTCCATCAACCGCAGGTTTCGATCAATGAAGATTCAACTTTTGGTGTAATTGAATTTAAGCAATGAGCAGCGGTTAGCACTTCCTAAAGAAATAACAAATTCAATTAATATACGGAAACGTGAAAGGGATATGAAGGTTCTCTGATAAGTTCCAACGATCATAGTACAATACAATCACAACAGAAATGATGGATTCTTCAGACTCATTAATTAATAATCTTCAGTGCTTTGGTCCTTTGCTGACTTCTTCTATTCCTTGCACAAGCAGGAAAAGAAACAATCAAGTCCAACAGATTAATTAAACAAAAAAACATAACAAGTACACAGTTTATGCAAGCCATTCTTAAATTCATAACTAATTTGGTTCTTCAAAGAACCAAACGAAATGTGGAACATAAACGGATAGTCATGAGGTTCGACATTTCCCGGAAAAAAAAAAAATAAAGAAAAAAATTGTTAATCGGATTTTTGTGCTGCTCTCTTAACCGTTCTATTGAATTTTAGATGATTAAGTTAAAACGATTTGACGAGATAAAACTTTTCAGCTCTGTACCAATCAATGTTCTACACCAAAAATTCCAACAACATTGTAAACACTCATATTAAAGAGAAAACAAGGCCAAAAAGTATGTTTACAAAAGTCTTTTCTTTCTTCTCTATAAAGTGCATATTATGGGGGAGCAATCGATTTTAAAAGCCGAAATTGAAGTAATAAAAGCTCGGATTAACTCAGAAAACATCATATAGCTGCCAAAACACACAGTTTTGGCAAGCATCCTCAGACTGTAGATACAACATTTCTGTGAAATACTTTTAATTTCACAATTGTTTAACTGGAATAATTGATATACATATGCAAGTTAGGTAAAAAAACGTTAACACACCACATATATAGCAAAAGCAAACATATAGATATATGATAATATTATCAACACAGGCAATATAAACTGATCATACCAGTTCTCTTGGGGAAGACTCTTACTGTAGAAAGGAAACTCGAATAAAAATGTTGCTTTAAACCATGCAGGCAAGTTGCCATACAGTGCCGGTGGAAGAAGTAAGAGAGGACTGAGAAATAAGAATCGTTAAACAAGTTGCAGTAAAAACATTGACATGTATTATAATAGGTTAATGAAATAGGAACAATTTAGAAAACCTTGTTGTTTTTTTATAATGTCTGTATGCAGGAACATTTCCATACTTTTTGTCAGCCGACTCCTGCAGGAGTAAGATTTTTAAGTGAAGAGTGCATATCTAAATGAGTGCAGCAATTTATAAGGTAAGAAAACAAAGTAACATGAAGCAAAACCTCGAGGAGTGGTATGCCACTGACAAAAAGAAGTAATAATGTAAGAAATAATGGTCCAAGGATGACGAGCCACTCTGCATTTTCGAGTACAGGTGTAGCGGCCACAAATATTCCCCACCACAGAAAAATCTGAGCAAAATTACATAGGGTAAGGAAAAAATCGATAAACAATGAATGGAAACACCGTATAAATCTCATAGAATGTGCATTTAACATTTATGACTAAACAAGAAAAGTGAAAAGAATTGAGTGAACATACTCAGTGTGCCTCTAACAGTGTACTAGATTAACTTCATCTTTGGAAATGAGTGCAGAAAACTTCCTCTATGTAAATTCTATCAACTGAAAATGATCACCCTAAGATGTCCCAAAACTTCAATGTTCTTATTTTTCAGACGACAAGTTAAGATCTGCTACGTAGTGTGCACAGGTAGCAACAATTATTCGAGAACGACTTTCACATATTAAATAAAAATAAGAACTAATGATGTCATGGGTAAAAGAAAGCAACTTTGGAAAATTTGTACAGTGAACATGCCACAATCACTTATCAAGGACAAAGGAAACAAATTTCCAAACATAAACCTCGCCGAAGTAATTGGGATGGCGAGAAAACTTCCAGAGTCCAACATTGCACCATTTCCCCCTATTCTCTGGCGAATTCTTAAATGTTAATTTTTGCTGGTCAGCAGTTGCTTCAACAAAAATGCCTAAAGCCCACATTATCCATCCTATGATATCCACAACTTGAATAGAAGGGTCTCGATCACTTGCGTTAACAACTGTTACAGGTAAACTCACAGTCCATACCCACACAGCCTGCACGGGGTAAAAGAAGACTACAGTAAGTTGTAGGAGAGTACAAAGCTTTATTTTACAATATATTAGAATAAATTTAAGTATAAGTATGTGGACCTGAAAAACCCAAAAAACAGCCAATTTCCCCAAATTGTCGCGCATTTCGTCAAAGCGACGGTCCTCACCCCAGCGCAGTATCCTGATTCAAAATTTAGAGCCAATATTAAATGAGAAAAAAAAAAAGAACATTATAATTTTTTCAACTTGTAGATGAAAAAAAACACTTGTAGAATAGTCATATGGATCAAGGTAAAACTTATTCAGATACAAGCACCAAAACTGTCAACTAACAGAAAATCAGTTTGTTTGAGAGAAACCTCATTAATAGAAACAGGCCTAGACGAAGACCCCAGATGACTACGAGTACAGACAAAACCACCTGAAAGTAAGATAAAAGATCAACTTCAAAAGATAATTAATATTTAATATAAGTCACCATTCTGAGGACGACATAATAAATTATCTCTCTTTTCCTTTCTTTTTTAAAGGGAAAAAGATGAGTGATTGCAGGCCGTAGCTACTCATCTTATTTCATGCTTGAACGTGTCTCCTAATACTATTTCATATGCATCACATGCAGGCACAAATTTTATTTTTGCTTCTACAGCTCTATTAAAACAAACAAACTCGTTCTTCCAACATTGTTTCATTTACAGAAATTTCATCTTTTGCACTATTTATAACTTAAACCAGATGATCTGACTGAAAAGTTAAAAATGAAGCAATCACCTGTCGAAAATGCCATGATCCCTTCACAACCAAGGTCAACACTGCTAGTAGAACGAAATTTGTGCTACCTATTCAAGGAACAAGAAATTAACCATTAAAGAGAGCATATATATCAACAGAATACATTACAAACAGTGTTTATTCTATTCATACGACACCAAATAATTCACATGTCCAAAAGTACAACAACATCCTTCAAACCATGATAATTCTACTCATTACTATTTCCAATTTATCTTTTAATATTTGAACCCTCTCCCAATCAATGGCTCCAATATCACCAATTGATACGTCCCCATTTCTTGCGTCATAGTTCACATTGGTCCATGCTTTACATGAAAGCGTAGAGAGGCACAATTCTTAACAAACTAAAGTATACCTCATCTCTAACATTACTACATAAGCCCTGAACAGCCTGTCCACTTATCTATTGATTTGGAAATTGATATAAGTCCGTTGGTTTTTTATCGCCAAGTAGCAAATGCAAAAATGAAATATAGCCACTTCTCATAGAAGTATGAAATAATTTAGCTACCAAAAACCGTTTCTAGAAATCTGGGATTACAAGACAAAATGGCTATTATTTCATACTTCCACAAAAAGTGGCTGTTTTCTATCTTTTTAAAAGCTACATAGCCATTAAGTGATATTACCACTTATCTCACTACCTAAAAGGGTCCCTTTTCTTATTCAAAAGCATTTCAACCATCACAAGTAACGCATTCATTCATGTATTGCAAATTCAACTGCAAAATAGAGCAAATATCAAATTATTCTTCATTTTGGTTCTAGCCACCTAAATTTTCCAACCCCAATGGAAAACATAAGAAAAAAAGAAAAAAAAAAATAGATCAACATAAATAATATAAGAGTGGGAAAACCTGCAAAGTCGGTGACCTTGTCGAATCTAAGAAGAGCGGTGATGACGAAGAAGATTAATTGATAAGCAACCTGCAAAAGGAAGATGAACAAAGTCTTTAGTACTCCAACTAGAAGCTTACAATACATAAACAAGCATGTTGAACAGTATTAGACATACATACAGTTACAATTGCAGTGAGGGCCAAGAAATGTGAGTCGATCACAGTTGTTCCCATTGGCCGTTTTTCTTCAAGATTGGAGGAACAGATATTCCGCTGGCTGTTTTGCAATGGTTTTTACTTGTTGCGAACGTCAAATAATATGTGGTGTGCATTGAAGGAGATTTGATTGTCCCCGCTGGAGAAATTCCCACCTTTTACCTTCTTTTATTTTATCTTCAATATTAATATAAACCCATTTTATTTAATATTATAAATATAATTAAATATCTACAATAAATAATTCTTACAATTTACATCAACTTTAATTACTACCAATTCACTCACATAATTGTAACTAACCATCAATTTCAATTATTTTTTTCCTACTTTTACATCAAATACTCTTTAATTATTTTTTTAATATTATTTTAATTTAAACTTAAATTCTCGATAACAACTAATCTTACTATATTTTTTAAAATTAACTATGACTAAAAAAAACTAATCAAAAAACAAATCAAATTCATATTCAATTATCTTCTTTTATTTACTAGTACGCAACGAGCGAATGCAAGTTGCGACGAGATAACAATATTAAAAAAAAATTGTTACTTTTTGATGATGCAAAAATGTAATTTTAAAAGTAATTGTATAAAGATAAATACATTGTTAATATTAAATGAATTTTATAAATTAAATATTAGACAATATGTNTATTTAAATTAAATAATACTTAAAAATTATATTATTTTAATTAAATAAAGAAAAACAAACGATATGATTCAATTTCTTTTTGTTAAAGTCAGTATATTTACAATAATATATATCTGTTTACAGCTTTTGAAATTATTATAATGTGATAATTTTGTTATATCCTTCCAAACACTATGAATAACACGAATTAAAAAAAAAAAATTAATCTACTTTAATTTTTTGTATTCAAAACTTAAAACTGTAATTTATAACAAAAAATTCAAAACTTGTCATATAATAGTGTATTAGTTATATTTTATCTTTTATAATTTATTAACAAAACTATACTAATGTATTATTACGAAAGAATGGTAATATATTTTTTTAAGAATTTATTATCACTTACTCTTTTAGTGAATTCTTAACCTTTATATATATAGATTGTGTAAAGTCACATGAAATTTGTCTATAATAAATTATTTTAATACAACTTAGTTAACACGTCTAAAAATATCTATAATATGCTACCTGAATGGTATGTATAGAATTTTTTCACAGGTTGTATATTAATCTTTAAGTAACATTCATGTTACAAATAAACTAAAAAAAAAAATGTATCGATATATAAACAACATATGAAAAATATGTCAATTCGTATATAACTGCGATAAATATTTTTCTATTATACAAATTGTCTAATAAGTGCATTACATATTTTAAGTTTTAGTTAATTTATTTTTTACTATTATTTTGTTTTCATGACATCTATTATTCTTATCTCTTAATTAATTCATTTTCTACCAATTCTAATGAGAAATAAGAAACACGAAATTTAAACATCATGATGGTTTCATATGAAAAATATTAAAATACTATAAATATTCGATCTGGGATATTGAATTAAATAAATAATTTTTAATTTGAGATTTATCAAAGAAAACGTATAGACAAAAATTATTATCGCACATTTTAATCATATTTGCATTTTTAATTATTGATACGTAAATGTTTGTAAGAAAATAGGGTACATAAATTGTTCCAAAAAAAGTGGACAATATCTTGGCCTACAAATTTAAAAATTAAAGTGCAGATAAGAAACCAAAGGGGTTGGACAATATTTAGGCATTGAATTTTTGAAACTAAATTTTATGCAAAAGGATAATGGGTTAATTTTAAATTTCATTCGAAAAAATGTGTTTTTCCTCAACTAAATCCTTCATATCAAACTGCTTGGACAACCATATCTTTACGTCTAACAATTCCTTCTTATCGTTTTCGATTAGAAGTATATCGTCTACGTACAGCACAAGAAAAACCACCACGCTCTCACTACGCTTTTTATACATACAATGTTTATCCGGACATTATGTGAATCCGTACGACTAGATCACCTCATCAAATCGAATGTTTCAATATCTAGAAGCCTGCTTCAGCCCATAAATAGACCGATTCAGTTTACACACTAGACGCTCATTACTATTTTCGGTGAAACCCTCTAGTTGATGCATATAGATGTCCTCCTGAAGGCTTTTGTTTAGGAAAGCCGTCTTGGCATCCATCTTCCAAATCTCATAATCTATATCAAGTGTATTGTCTAGATATTTTAGAAATTTTTCTGTTGGCAAGTTATTCTACAAATATTTTTTTCTCAAGACGCTCTTGTATGGAGCTTTTTTCAGAATTAGAGTTTTGGGCTAAAAAATCTAATCAAAAGCAATTTATCAAACAAGCTAATTAGCATATTAGACGGGTCAAACCTCTAAATGAGATTCAATTTACTAATTTCATACCAAACAACTAACATCCAAACATGGCCAATATTCAACAAAGATAAAAGTAATAAAATTAGTTTTTTTTTTAGAACGATAGAAATAATATATATAACGCACAAATGTACAAACAGAAAGAAGCCCAAAGCTCAATGATACAACTAAGAGCTAAAAATTGGGAGGCAGATCCGGAGATCGCCTAAAGACCGCACTAGCAACGCTAGATTAGCAACACTACCACACACAAAACTAAAAAACACTACAAAATTCAAAAAATGGAGAATTACGGATCTCAAAAGGATAATACCTGATTACACACGGACACACAGAGGTCAACGACCCAAGCCAAAAAACACAACTCCTAAACAAACAACTAAAACAAAAAACTACACTAAACAAAACAAACTAAAAAACAAGCCGTCCCTCAACTGTAAAGCACTAAGAAGCCCGCCGACGACCACATTGCCGACCAACTAATCAGACCGGACCATGCTTCGAGAAAACGATCCAGAAACTGCCTAATGCCTAACTGGACCTTCCCCCAAAAGACAACTCTAGCCCAGGCGGACAACCGCGGCCGCATCCAGAAGAACTCTGACCATTACCACCCCCTCTCCCTCTCAAACGCCGCCTCTCTAACCACGGCCAACTCCACTGTCAGAGTTCGGAAGCGCCGCCAGCGCTGAAACCCCAGCACCAGGGGAAATAGGCCCGAAGGAGTATAAAACTGCCGGAGCTCCACCCCAACCACCCAACAGGTGGTCGGAGCCGCAGCCTCTCCCTGCAGGCATCCAACACCACCCCGGCGACTCACAAAGGCCGAAGACAGCACCTTGGATATCGCCAGAAACCGGCGAAGCCCACTTGGCAGATCTCCTCCTCCCGCCCCGCAACGACGACATCAACGCTCGACCAAATGAAAGGCCATGCTGGCTAGAGCCGGCACCAGCGCAGACTCCCGACACTCGACTGAGGGAGGCGAACCCTCTAATTTGAGGAGATCCCAAGGTTCAAAAAAAAATAAAATAAAATAAAACCGTTTTTCCAATAAAATTTGTCATAAATCAACAATTTATGCACATAAGTAAATATGTGCATTTATTCATGAAATTTCATATTTCTAATTTCAATATCAAAAATATTTTGGTAATATTACAAATTATTGAATTTACAACCAATATTTTTTAATACTTTTATTACATAATAAATATAAATTTCATGTGCAAAAATTAAAATTATTTTTATATTTTAAAAGTAAATTAAAAAAATTGAAAAAAAAAATCGGGGACTATACGCTGCCAAGACCGCATAGCCCCCCTAAGCACGAGTGTCTTCACAATCGACGAGCCCGCCTAAGGACCTCCTAGTCCACCTAGGTGCAGCCTAGTCCGCCTATGCAGCCATCTAGGGCCGACTTTTAGTACAGTGTTGATGAGAATAATGATACTTTTGCTGACTCAGTGAAGATACTAACACGCGAGCGCATTACTGAATAACTATACTTCTTTGTTAAGTTGCTAAGGGTGATATTGGATATTGATATAGTTAATTTTGAAAAATGTGGTATGTTGGTTGTTAGTGAGATTTTGAGTTTATATTAAAATAAAATAATTAAAGTTGATTTGATATAAAAATATGAGGGAGATGAGGTGAAGTGATAATTAGTTAAAATTATGTGAGTGAATGAACAGTGATATAAAGATAATATAATGTGTAATAATGATTGATTAGATAAAGAGGTTGAGTTCAAGTTGAGTAAAAAAAAAATATATTGAGTTACTGGAATAACTGATTCATTGTTTGAAACTGAAATGAGTTTGTTAGGAACACTTACACTAGATTCAAGCGCTGTACTAGAGATGACACAAGTATGGACTGTTACACAAAATATATACACAAAACTGCTTGGAATCAGCTACTCCATCTCTCAATAGAACACGAATTGTATCTCATTTCTCAATAGTTCCACAACACAGCACCATGAAAACACACACATACTATGGCTACTCTGTATCATTTAACCATACTTCCTCACAACTAGAGCCAATGTTGTACACAATGCAATGAACAAATCAAATTCGACTCTTGGAATCAACCGCAATCCTGAAAATCAATAAAAAAAAAAAAAAGTTCATGCATATGAAAGTATATGCAATATAATTTAATAAATCTAGACAAGAATCCATACTAAATTTTATATTAACACTCCATAGAATCTACCCTCACCAGGACTGTTACTGTCCTCCGCCGAACTCTGCCTAGAACCGGGCCTCGAAGTTGTTGAGTTGTTCATGTTGAGCCCAAGGCTTGCACAATCCAATCCAAGTGCACCTAGTAGCATATTTCATATATCCAGTTTCGTACGAAATTATCTCTTAGTAACTTAAATACATATTTATAATAAACAAATCCCTCAAGTTTAACTAGCCTAATTTCAAGTTGCAACAAGAAAACAAGCATTGACGTGGCATTCGCAAATTTTGCGAAATATATGTGTTGAAATTAGACAAAACTTCAAGATCTTAATTAATCCATACTTTAAACAGAAGAAAATTAAATATAAAAACAAAACTTATCATATGCTATATTCTCACATTCTTTGTAGCAAGGGAAAGAAGTGGAGTTGAACAAATTGAAGTAGCCCTCATCGCATTCGCACGAGTGTGTGAATATGGAGGTCTTATTACACGAACCTCCCCCACAGTAAGTCCAGAAACAGGCTACAAAAGCACAACATAAACAGAGAATGAATTGTGCAAAAATAGCATAATTAATTGAGAGTAGATATAAGGAAGACACATATCACTTACGGTCTAGAAACGAGAAGTTAGCATTTTTGTGATTATCGGATGCTGGGGGAAGCGCATTCGCACAGTCGTTGTTTAATGTACCTGTAAAAATAGAAAAACACAAACAAATTAACCACATTTTGAAATATTAGGAAAAAGGAATATTCTGAAATTTATGCAAAATGGAAAGTTGTGTTTTGAACCATAGAATCTAACAGTCAGGTTATCAATAATGCTAAGGAGCCAACTGTTGGCTCTGTTATGGAGCCAACAACCAATGAGATAGCTCCATGTGGGGCTGTCCCACATTGGAGCCATGTGGGACAGCCCCACATGAAGCTGTCCCATTGGTTGTTGGCTCCATAACGGAGCCAACAGTTGGCTCCTTAGCATTA